TTTGTTAGCCCCCTTTTACCCTGTTCTCCATTGGTCCAGACCCCCACAGAACCACCACAGAGCAGGTATTATTTGGGTGGGGAATCATTCTCAGCACTGCAGTGACACTTCTGTGGTGGTGGCCTATTAGGGTGTGTTGCGCTGGTACAAGTGGACGTAGTTAAACACCTCAGTGCCGCTGCTGGACTGAGAATGTTCCACCAACCAAAAATATCCAGCCAACAGCGTCCTGTGGACAGCATCCTGTGACCACTGATGAAGGACTAGAGGATGATTAACACAAACGATGCAGCAACAGATGAGCTACTATCTCTGGCTTTACATCGACAAGCTGGACCAACAAGGCAGGTGTGCCTAATAGAGTGGAAAGTGAGTGGACACAGTGTTTAAAAACTGCAGCAGCACTACTGTGACTGACTCACTCGTACCAGCACAACACACTAACACACCACCACGTCAGTGTCACTACTGAGAATGATCCACCACCCAAATAATACCTGCTCTGTGGTGGTCCTGTGAGGGTCCTGACCACTGAAGAACAGGGTAAAAGGGGGCTAACAAAGTATGCAGAGAAACAGATGGACTACAGTCTGTAATTGTAGAACTACAAAGAGCACCTACATGGTAAATGGAGCTGATGACATGGACAATGAGTATAAATACATGGTAAGTGTACTTAATGAAGTGGCCAGTCTGTGTATATTACATATAAAATACATAAAAATGCATACTACAGGCCACGGGTGGGCATTATTATGATATGTCATCGTTATCGCAATCATTTTTGTCATCATGATACACAACATGCATTTCAGAGCATATTGTGGATATCGCCCATACTTGAAAAACACCGAGCAACTACATGTTTCATTACAGAGAACCTAATTAGTCCTGTTTAATTGGATTTATTACAGTAAATTATGTGAAATGTGAGATAAAAATGCTTGTATTCATAGTTTTTGATTGCCCACACCTGCGACAGATGCATACTATATAATAACATAGATGCATACTGAATATATATATATATATATATATATATATATATATATATATATATATATATAATATATTGTTTAGCAGTCTGAACTGTAATTAAAGGACTGACTGCACAGTACAGTGACACAGTGAAACAGTCCTTGTGGCCTACCCCCAATATATTTATGTACACACTAGTCTAATGAAATATCATAGCTGGAAACTCTTCATGCTGTCCCATCTGAAATATCTGTGAGCCCCAAACTGTGAGACGCCAAGAATGTCAGGGGTCACAAGAGAGAAAACCAAAAAAGACCATACACTGGCCAATACACTGGTAATTTCTGTTGTATACAGCAGGACATCATGCAGTTTTACAGTTACCAGAACAATTTCCTAAAAACCTCCAGCAGACAAAGTGTAAGTTTTCCTCCTCAACAGCAGGAGGGTTTAATCTTAGGAGATGACAGCAGGGTTCAATGCTGAGGCAGAGGGTGATGAAAATTGAGACAAATTGCTGCATTCGTTGGAAATTGGACAGATTAATTTCTCATCTTTGCCAGAGACTCTGGTGCTTTCTTGTCTTCAAAGGCAGACCTGATTTTAAGTCTTTTCTCTGCTTCTCCTTGTGATATTATCTGTAGGATAATCTTGAAAGGCCTTCATTCTCCCAAAGCAATAGCCCTTGCAGCTTAGCTTGTTTTGCTCAATCACACAGAAGGATCAATAAGTTATCAGCAAACACGGCTTAGCTACTTCATCAGCTACCACATGCGCAGCATTTCCACTGATACCTAGTTGTTCTGACAAGCTTAAAAAGAGAACATCCACAAAACATGAGCTACACAACTGTAATTCCTCTCAATAGCTGTATACCACTGTGCGAAACCTCTGTAGCAACAGCAACCATGAAGAAAGCACTCTATCTGTGCCAGATTTCTCTACACAAACGGCTCAGCTCATTTCTGATTGGATGAGCAGGAGATGACCCCCAAACCCGTGCTGTGTTTTGGAAAATATGCCTGGGTTTGTTTTAAGTCCTTGTACTGCAATTGAGTATTAGGTATTTGTGGAGGTATTCAAATGTAGAAAGTATCCCAGGACACTCGAATATTCATCTCCCAATTAGGCCCACAGTTTAATTTCCGATGACAAGCAGAACCACCAACTGTTCCATATCCTAAATACAGAAATAGGATATAGTTATTATTCACACATTGTAAATGTAGGCTGCCAGTTCACATCACATGGTTTTTCAGATGTTAGATAACTTTTCTGAATGAGTTAAGGGTACTAAATTTTAGACGAAAAATCAGACTTACGACCTCTGGGTGACCTGAGTCATGACATATTTCTCTACATCTAACTAGTGCACTGTGTAGTAATCAAAACAGAAGACATGCTGGAGGCAGACAAAAGTCACATTTTGATTACAGAAAAAGAAGATTTTTTTTTCTTTTAAATTATATAACATTGGCGGCACAGTGGTGCAGCGAGTAGTGCTGTCGCCTTACAACAAGAAGGGCCTGAGTTTAATTCCCTGGTGCTTTCTGTGTGAAGTTTGCATGTCTCCCTGTGTCTGCATGGGTTTCCTTCCACAGTCCAAAGACATGCAGTCAGGCTAAATTGCCACTGTGTGTGTGCGTGGGTCAGGCTCCAGCACTGACCCAGGAGGTTCAGTGTTGTATGTATAAGTGTGTATGTGTATGTATATGTAAGTAAATTATATTATATGATATGATGAATCGTGCTTAAAACAACCAGGAATATGAACTAACAAAGTAAACAGGGTCGGTTATAATTTCAGGTAGATCTGAACTTAGAGGCCTAAGTTAACTGCTAACGGGCTGAAAAATGTAAAGCTCTAAGACCTAAATCAGAACAGCTAAGCTGACAACATATTACACTTTTCATCATTTATGGGCAATTCATTCAGTTCTATTGAAATTGAGATGCATGCTCATTCCCTATAATGCAATATGCACTTTGGGATGTCAGTAGGAGACGAATGATCCAGTGCCCTAAAATAATTTCTAAATTAGGACGCTATAGAAAATAGATAAAACACCATCAGAGGTGGAGAGAGAGGCCTAAATCCAAACTCGGATAAAAGTACTGTTACTTTGGTGAAATAATGACTCAAATTAGAGTAACTTTCCAAAAAAAGAAAAACTTAGTCAAGTAGTACTGCGTAAAGTAGAATAAAGTAGGTTTAACTTCTTAGTACATCCAGCATCATCAACAAATGAAGGTTGTGATAAACCTCAAAGTCAGAAGTAGCGTAAAGCAGCACAAATGCAGCCATAAACTGAACGTTACTGATTAAAATGTAGGTAAAAAGTAGAGTCCAACTCTCACAAACATACCGGAGTGTAAATACAGTCACTTCAAAATACTCAAGAGAGTGCAAATTCATCACAATGTTACCTGAGGGCAGGTAACTGAGTGAACTAACTAGTGACTACTCACCTCTAATCTGCAGTTTGCTACGGGATTGGATTTGGGACACGCCCCTAGTCCCTCTATAATCAGGTCACTCACGTTCAATCCGCAGTAATTTGCTACCTCTGGGTCGATTTGAGACTCGACCCCTGTTTCTAAGCTTTCACGAATATGGCCACAGCAAACTATGAAGCTCGTCCCATTCAACACAGAACAGACAGCGAGGCGAGTTTGTTGGTTTTACTTTTGGAGTAAAAGTCCACAAAACCAAGTACGAATTGTCAACAGAGCAGTAAACAGGAAGAAGAAAGGCATTTGACAAAGGTGTGACAGTTTAGTCTACTCACCTTCGTTGTAATGATGTCTGTTTCTGAACAGGACCTCAGGCGTCGTTACAACGGGTTAAAATCCAACAGCGACTGGAATTTTCTTCAGTAATAATAACTACACAACACGTTTTCACCCAGCGGGTTTCGATATAGGTGTGCATGGGCGTGTCTCGGTGTTCAGCCTCGACGCGGCCAGAGGTGGGCAGAGTAGCGTAAACCGATCTGAGGTAAAGATCTTGTTACTTGGATAAAATGGTGGCTCAGAAGTTGCTATCAAAAACAACATGAGCAGGTATATAAATGTCTGTATAAAAACATCAGTAACCTACTAAGATTCTTATAGAACTAAAACAGAAGTCATTACCAGCATGTTTTACCATAAATACTCTTTTTGGGTTCCTTTTATTCTAAAAGGAAATGCTAAAGCTTCATAGAGGTGTTAGCAACGGCAAAGCAGTCCAGAGGCTGGACCAAGAGAAAAGACTGAGATTAAACCCCATTTTAAAAAATGAGAATTAAAGGAAGGAGAGCCTTTAGAATTAAAGCTAAATATGAATTGAAATGAAGACAAACTAAAATCCTTTCCTCACAAATAGACTCAAATATACCACTATTTGAAGCAAATGGAACTACCCACCTCTGCTGTGGCCTCATCAATGACAACACAGCTGCCAGTCAGTAAAGAAAAATATAGACTAAATTTTTCCATGATTTTTTTTTTTTAGTGCTGGTTGCTCTAGTGTGGTCTGAGAGGCCGGGCTGAATCCCTACCTGAGGCCTGCTGGAGCCTGGAGGAAAAGCAACTGCTGGGCATTGATGGTGTCCTATGATGCCCAAACCGTTTCCATGGAAACCGAGCTATTTCTGCTCTCCTGTTTCAAACAGTGTCACAGATTTGCATATTCCTGTTTGTGCAAAGAAGAGCGAGTCGATAAAAGCTGTCTGCACTTCATCATCCCTGCCTGGTGTGAAAACAATACAGGCCTATGAATAAGGGAACACTCATTTACCACATAAGCAGTGAGCCAGCCTGTGTGTTATTACAGCCTCAGACGTTAAAACCAAAACTAGTGTTGCTTGTCTATTTGTTGTGATAATCATACAAATTAATGTTTATCTTCTTACTCCTACTGCACAGTGTACTACCTCTAATATAGCATCCAAAAATCCATGATTATATCTATATACAACCAGGATATAAAGTGGTTACTATGAACAAGCAATGTGACACATAATAGGCCTACAGCAGAATTGAGGAGAAACCATAACTTATTTTTATTAACAGATATTCATCACAACACTATATGCACAAAATACAATGAAAACTGAAAATGAAAAAAAGAAAAACGTGACTACATGTAGAAAACACTGTTTCATGTAAAACCTGGACACATATTTACTAGCATACACCTCCAATATTCTAACTGATTGTAGCTGTATTAGCAATACACTTTGGACATACTGGAGGCTAAATATTCCACACAACTGATGCTGCAGCATCTCAGAGACTGATGCAGGCCACTTTTTCGGACCAAAATCACTACAGACAATCTGGTCCTAAAAGCTGCTGTGAAAAAGCGCTCTCCTCCAGCTGTCTGCAGTAATTCCTCTTTGTCTCCTCCTTCCAGTTCACAAGTCCAGACATATAAATGCTGGCTTTGAGTTAAAAGCTTCAAATCACAGTGGCTGCCCTCTCGTCTCTTTCACCTGCCCATGAGCCATTAAAAAATGACCCCTTTAATCCGATTGTAGTCTAACCAGATTCATTTGCCAGGATTATCCTAGTAGTTTCTACTCTGGGCCATAAAGAATAAAGAGTTTAGAATACAAAGTGATGCTTAAGGGCTTTTTATTTGTATCTGAATGCATGTCAGGGATGAACCATGCATGTATTAACAGTAACTGCCATTTGCCCAATGCAGTTAAATAAATACAAGAGGGGGTGATGAAAGTACTTCAATTACTGTAATTGAAGCACCATTTAGTTAATAATTTGGACTAAAGCAGTCCAAATTATGCAGCCTTTTAAATGCCTGTGCATTCTTTTTGGCAGGTTCATTTGTATTGCCATAGTACTTAAACAAAACCATTAGAAATCATGAAAAATAAACAGAACAGAAATGTCTTTAAGATGTTTTGCGGTTGGAAGAGATCTTATTGCGGTCATTTAGCATGACATAATGCTTTACATGTATTGGATGAGTATACATGATAAAACATTTCGGATCCCAAACAATAATGGTGAATGCTTCATTGGTTCTGCTTTGCTAGTATATTATCTGCATCGCTGAAAGTAAAGGTACAGCAAAATGGTGATTCTGACAGACTTTGTTCCTTCTTCTGCCTCCATCAGGAATGGATGAGATGTGACAGGTCCATGTTTGACTGAAAGATGGCAGAAAATTCTTTGGAGAGCAGATCATGCAAGGCCATGCCATCGTGGGCGTATACCCAGCGCTCCCCCGTCCAATCATAACGTTTTGGCCCACTGCAAAAATAAAACATATTCAAGAAGTCTGCTCAATTATTTCCATTAAATTTAATCAGAATAATCACTAGATGGCAGGATCACTATTATAGCGCTTCGAATCCTTATGTGTCCTTTTTAATATTTAGAAATATAAAATTGTTCAGAAAACTGATAGAACTATTACATTTCTATTACATTTCTGTTAAATTTAGCAAATAAAAAGTTTCATTTATTTATTTATTTTATTTATTAAAATGTGTGGAAGTGTGTTCTCTGTAGAGAATGTGTACTTATTTTCACTTATTTTTAGACAAAACGTGCGTGTATATAGGTATACTGTTTACATACACTATTGTCACAATCCAAAAAAAAAACCAAAAAAAACAAGTATCTCCATTTTTAGATCTTTAGCTTTTTGCATAATTTAAACACAGCACATCATGGACCAATAGAAAGGCTCACTCACAAGCACTTTATTAGGAACACTATACTAATACTGGTTAGGATCTCCCTTTCCTCTAAAAACAGCCTCAAATCTTCATGGCATAAATTCCACAAGATGTTGGAAATATTACTTTGACATTTTGGTCTACGTTGCAATAACTGCATTATGGAATTAAATTTTTCAGGTGCACTTTCATGTTGCAAATCTCCTGTTCTACCACATCCTCTATTGTATTCAGATCCGGTGACTGGGAAGGCGCCTGAACAACACTGAACTCACTGTTATGTCCATGAAACCAGTTTGAGCTGACTTTTCCCTTGTGACATGATGCATTATCATGCTAGAAGTAGCCTTTAGAAGATGGATAAATTGTGGCCACAACAAGATGCACACAGTCAGCAACAAAACTTAAATAGGCTTGTGGCATTCAAAAGATGATTGATTAGTATTAACAGGCCCAAAGTGGGCCAGGAAAACATTCCACACACCATTACACCACCTCCACCAGTCTGCACTGTTGACACAAGGCAGGTTGGGTCCATGGATTCATGCTGGCACCAAATTCTGACCCTACCATCTGCGTGCCTCAGCAGAAATCGAGATTCATCGGACCAGGCTATGTTTTTTGTGCATTCTGAGGTGCTTTGCTGCTTAACACAGTTGTATAAAGTGGTTAGCTGAGTTACTGTGGCATTTCTGTCAGCTTGAACCAGTCCGGACATTCTCCATTGACCTCCCTCATCAACAAGGTGTTTACAGAATTGCTTCTCGCTAGATATTTTTTCTTTATTGCACTATTCTTAGTTAACTCTAGAGACTGATGTGTGAGAAAAAACCCAGGAGATTAGCAGTTATAGATGTACTCAAACCAGCTCGTTTAGTACCATCATTTACGTGAGATCACATTTTATGTGATTATATATATATATATATATATATATATATATATATATATATATATATATATGTGTGTGCATGTTAAATGACTATGGCCTTGAGTGGCTTTTATAAATCATCATTTGATAGTAATCACAAACAATTCTTCTGCCAAGAAATGTCATATGTGTGGTCGAATATGTGTGTATATTGAGTATTTTACAGCAGCCTCAAACGTGGTGTAGCCATCAGATTTTAGAAACAGAATGTTTTATAAAGCAAAATAAATAATGAAACATGCTAATTTAGTAGATCATCGGAAATAAAATTGCTATTGATGACAGACAGAAAAGGTTTTAATATTCCATAGAAGTGAGAGAAACCTGCCTTGTGGGAGAGGAGAGCCAAATCTGTCTGTTTGGTGTTTGTTTATTGATGACGTAGGTGCCATGGCCACCGCCCACTTTCACAGTCAGAACTCCCCCCTGTGGTGAGGAAGAAGATAAACAGAAGGAACACTTCAGAACACATCACTTTAAAGAAATAGTTCGCTCAAAATGCTAATGTGGACGATTATAAAGGAGAGTTAGTGTGGATCACATAGCACAAGCTTATTTGCATAAACGTTATCTGACTTCTCCAAGTGTCCGTTATTATTATTAGAAACGTCAGCATTTCTGTGTAAAACTTCAATCTGTTTGAAGTGACAAAAAATTCTTGTGAAGTCACCAGTTTGAGTCATTAAAATCCCCTGTGGACCAGACACAGCCGTACTAAAACACAATCTAACAGACGTGTCCAGATAAAATTGGGTACAGAACATTCACAGACAGGAAAACATTCACATAGCTGGAACAAGTTTACTGCTTACAGTCACTGCACATCTATGCTATGGGCAGTTTGGCTCTGTGCCCGAAATTTTTCTGAACAGAACATAATACATTACCAGATGACAAATTGAACTGAGCAGTTATTTTATTTCTTAATTAAAATTATGGCTCTTGTTCTTTGCTGGCCTCTCTCGGCAATGGCTGACCTTGTAGCTCATACTGTGGAATGGTGAGATTTACTGATGACCACATTTCTGTGATGTTCTGATCAGATATAGTGGATCATAGTGAGGGCTGCAGTCAAGACCACTACTGTTGAGTCTAAGACAAGTCTAGGTTTATCACTACCAAGTTGAAGTCAAGACCAAATCCAAATGAGAGTGAGAGCAAGTCAAGATCAAGGCTTAAACCTCTTTTAGACCAACCATTAACTATCCTTTGCTGCTCCATTCCAAATTCCAAAGAAAGTGAGCTACAGCCCTATAATTCACTTGGGACTACAGAATTAACGGGTTGGAAATACAGGGTGATTCAAAAAGATTCATCTGATTTCAAAGGGCCGTATTTTTACAACCATGAGGCGCCTAGGAACCAATCACACACCAATTGAAAGAGGGGGTCGTAGAGTTTCTGTCAGTCACCGGAAGATGGCTCCCTTCAGTCTGCGAGGAGATGGCAACCTCTGAGCAGAAAGCGTTTTGCGTTCTCCACTTCAATAAGAGTGAATCCGTCATAACTGTGCAGCGTGATTTTTGTCGGCAGTGAACCTCCAACAGCTCAGAGCGTTCATCGTTGGTTCTACAACACTGGATGATCTCCGAAATCACATTGAAAGAGCTGTGAGTACAGTGACACCCGACATGCTCAAACGAAGAAAGAAAACACAAAGGCAATGGAAGAGACACAGACAAGTCTGAGTACAATCTATCAAGTCCAAGATTTCTTGAGCCCAAGAGCAAACTCCAGAACTATAGCTGGGTTATACGGACAATCCATATCAATCCATATGCATATTTTCCAAATATATCACAGTATCAGTGATTAGATAAAAATGAGCCCATGTTTCTTGAGTACTGGTAATGTCTTAGAAAACTGACCTAGCTTGTTTTAATTGGACCGTCTCTTAAAACACTCTCTTATCCTACTCTTTACATAGTATAAATCTTCTAAAACAATTTTTCACGATTCTAAACAGATTTTTCTTATATGATTGTCTCCACTATGTTACATTTGGCTCTACTGTATATTTACATATAACACATGCCCTGTAAGAGCGCAGATATTGGATTAGTACTCTGTATTGGAATCAGAATCTGAGGGGAAGTTAGACCCCTGATCCCTAATTTCTATTGTTGAGAGCTGATTGAAACTGACGAAAGAACAGATTGTTGTCCCTCAGAAAATGACTGATCACAAAACAATTTTGATCAGCATTTGACAATGTTAACAAACACTTTTCAAAATGAAGTTGTTAAAAAAGATTCTTCTGAACAGATTCATAGTGGAACTGATTTGGTTTCGGTAAAAATCTTTCACTGGATGATTCTTTAAAGAATCAACTTTCACGAGTGTAAAGAACCTTTGTTAAGCTTAAATAATCTCCCCCCAGTGCTAACGGAAAGGTTCTTTACCAAATACATTGTTACTTAAATTTTATTTACTTTCAATGTTCTACATAGCTTTATAATATCTATATTATTTATGGATCATTCTGACAAACTGCAATACCCTACAGGAAGTGTGGGAAGCAATATAGCATAGTGAGTAAAAGATGTATTGATTAATTGAATAGCAGATGATTAATAGAATGACAGAAATATACAAATAAAAGAAATACAAAACCTATAATTACTGATTAGAGAATTAAACGTTAGTTAGAGGCCTAAGTGGCACAACTTGCCATAAGCAGCAATGCAGGAGAATTGCAGTGTGGAAGGAAAGATTTATGTGTGTGTGTATATGTGGTTTGTGGTGTCCCTGCTTGGAGACATAGTGAGGTGGACTGGGGAGCATGGCTCAATCTCTCAGGAGCAGTTCAGACAGCGGCTGTCTGAGCACATGATTTAAAAAGGCTCCGTTTTATTAAATCATCCCACTGTGACCGATATGTTGCAAGGCAAAAGAGGATCTAGCGCCTTCTATTTCCCATATAACAGGCATGCTCTATAAACTCAGAACAACACAGAGGAGGGCCGGGATGATTTGGCATCGGGGAGGTGCAGAAACTCACTCCTCAGCTCAGCGGGGGTAGCTGACAGGAGACTCCCCGCCTGACATTTATCTGGCTAGGAGAGAGAGGAGGAGGAGGGGGAGGACATAGGGTGTGAACGACCAATCAACCTGTCAGCAGCCCTGCACGCATCACAGTGCCACCAGCCGCTGCAATCAGACCAGGCCCAGAGAACAGCATGCTAGGAACTAAGGAGGAGTGTCACGAAATCTTATCACAATATATTTTCCCTTATAATTTAAACACTGAAAATAGCCAGCTAGCTAACTCTCCCAACTGTCCCACTGGTTTGTGCTGTTGTGAGTGAACGGCTAGACTTCTTCCTCCCAGTCTTATAAAACGCACCATTTGGTGTACCAGTTCAAAGGTCAAGCTTTTGCTGCCAATACCAGATTGAAATGAATGGCAGAAACATGTAATACTTAAAACAAGGAAATATTAATATCTGAAAAAGTTTTTTGATAAACTATAATAAATCAATTATTATTATTTTTCAGCCAGGCCTACTAGGAATGTACTTATTCATCACTGCACATAAATTGCTTCAGCTCTAACTTCTCTTGCCTTTCCTGTGGGATGTTGGAGAAAAATTCAGAGACCATAAGAACTGTGATTTGAAAGTAAACTATAGATAAGCAGTTAGATAAGCAGGATTTGAATCAAATCATTGCAAAATGTAATAAACAAAACATAAAAAATGATAGGTGGACGTGTGCCATTTAAATCATGATTGCAAGATTAAAGCAATAGTTTGGTCACAAATCTGATTTACACTTTTACTCAAAATCTAGTTGACCAGTCAGGAGAAGTTTGGTGGCCTACTTTTGCACTGAATCTACGAGGGTAATGTAAGGTCATAACTAATGATGCATCCAAATTAAAATTCTTGACCAAAACCGAAAGTTTAATTCAGTCAAACACCAAAACTGAAAATTATAAGAAATGCATAATTTCATGTATAATTTAAGTTAAAAAGTTATACATATAGTAGTTTATCGGGCCTCAGCTACAATGATGGAAAACATCACATTTTGCAATATATAAGGATATGTTCAGACTGCAGACAAATCGGATTTGTTTCTCAAATCCGATCTTTTGAGATGTCTGTCCGCACTGTTATTTGCAAGTGATCAGATCGGATTTGTGTACACTAACAGACATCATCAACCTATCTGCATGGGTTGCTATGGCAACAAAGTAGGTGTCGGTAACTACGTAGCCACGCCGGTGACGTGGATTTCTAATGCACATGCAAGAGAGATGGAGGTGCATCATCTCACCCTCCAAACTCTTAAAAATTCTCTGGCGTAAACTTGAATCTTTTTAAACCCCAGCACTTTCGTCTCACTGGATATGACATCAATGTTGTTTATTGCACTGCGAGTGACACAAAAGAGACTTTGAAATCTGATTTGAGAGGCCAAAGCGTCCAGACTGAGACACATCTGTAAAAATCTGAACGGAATCACATTTCAAACCAGCTCCAGACAGGTTTGGATCTGATTTGCAAAAATCTAATTTTATCCAGTTTTTTGCTGTCCAGACTATCAAAAATCAACCTGGACACAAAAAAAAATCGGATTTGGGCTGGCATGTCTGAACACAACCTAAAACACGTGGACGTGGCTTTGGAGTAGTGGTCATCTAACAGTCTGAAGGCTCTCCAACAGGGGATGCTATTAGCACACCTGTACGTCATTAGTGTACGTTAGGGGTGTCCAATGTAAGGGGTCAGTGTGGCTGCAGGTTTTCATTCCAAATGAGCACTTGTTTAATCAGTTGGTCAGCAACTGATCATATGTGCTCCTGCATTGTTGGAATGAAAACCTGCAATCACACCGGCCCTTTGCAGAGAAGTCTGGACACCGCTGCTGTGTACGTCATTTAGAGAAGAAACAGCTGTAAACCTTGGCAGGATCTAACAAGCCACTTTCGTTACCAGAGGTAAAAAAGTTTATTTCCAAAAGAAATTTTGTTACTCAGTTTATGTGAATTCCAAGAATTTCATTCAATCAGTTTATGCTAAAAAGCATCACTATACTGAACACAGCTGCAGCGTTTTAAACTATGTTTAAGTGTTTTCACTATTTTTCATTTTCATTACCATTCAGATTGTTTGTTAAGTGTTAGATTTTGACACTTCATTGTAGATCTATTTGATTTTTAGAATTTTTTTGCCAAAAATTTCAGCCTAGTTAAAGTGCCTTTTCGGACCATTTTTTGGCTAAATATTTTTAGGGAACCGAAATTTTGGTGCATCATTAGTTATAACCACCAGTTAGCACTGAGCAAACTGCATGCCTAAATCAATACATTGCCAAAATATCTAACTGCTTTGTAAGCAATCATGTATAGACAGCAGAGCTAAAAATAGCAGCAGCTGGAAGCCTGAATTTGTCTGTACTTTCATCCTTTTTTAAAGACAGAGTCAGCATCATATTAAAGCATCTGAGGTGATCTTTTCTCCAGACGATGGTGCTAGTGAAGAATCACAGCTTAGAGACAACGGGCCTCTTTCATCAATCTTCTTAAGTTTGTTTGTAAATTTGTTTTTGAGAAAGGTCATAAGAAAAAGTCTACACCAGATTCGTGACATGTTCTCAAACCACATAACTGTTCAGACCTCTTGAGTGTGCGTAGCTTCTGTTCTTACCTAAGAACAAACCCACAATGCAATGGTAAATGTCAGAATCTTTGTGAAAACTGCGTAAGAGGGTTTTAAGAAGAAATTTCTTATCAACGGATGGTGAATGAGGCCCAATCTCCAGGTCTATAAACTAAGTCAGAATTGTTTGCATTGAATTTTAAGATTTGTGCATGTATATTCATATGCAGCTTTGACATTCTACATAACTTAGCATACACATGTCTAGTTAACAGTATTACCAACATTGAAGAAAAAAACATTTATTTTCTAAAGTTCATAAAGATATTTTACAAGCTTCAAACATTTGCTGATGGACAAAACAAAGCTGGACATCTTTCTGAGGGTCAAGGAAAGACAATCAGTCTTCTTGATGGTAGCTGTCAGTCTGCTATTAAAGAGACAAAGCTAAGAGGTCACCCTCAATCCTTAACAGCAGGTCACCAGAGTTAGCCTGACATGGCATTAAAGTGAGAGAACAGAATGTTACAATTACAAACTATAAAACAATTCTGACATGAACGACCCTTTATCAGCATTTTGGGCAGACTGGTACCAGATTAAGCACAGATCACAACTGATTCCCAGTGTAAAGTTAAATATAGGACTGTGCTATAAGTGCATAGTCCTATTTCTGACGATTAGCATCACTTCATTTCCATCCTCAGTTACTGGGTCAGAAAAACAGGGTTTCTCCTCAGATGCTCTAGCTTCTGTTAGCCTGGTCCTACATACCACCTACTGGGCAGCTCTGGCTGAAACGGGTCGATACAGTCAAGTGAGGAAGAGCAGTCAGCACACGTTCCAGCTTACACATGGCTGAGGAACTGGTACACACCAGAAAGCAGAAATATACTGCACATGTTCAAGCCTATGAGCCAACACATGTATTTATGATACCGTATGACCCGCTGTTATATTTAAAAATTGACAAAAACTATGCAACATAGCTAAAAAGCAGCACTAATGGACACTAAAGATTCTTTTTTCTAAATGTATAAATAACCGTATGTAATACAATAGCAAAACCCACAAGTGTATTTGCAATAGCGTAAAGGACAATTTCACCATTTTTTAAATTTCTGCATAATTCAATGCTTGAAATGTAAACAAGTCATTCAGAGTAGTTTTATATGAATTATACTGAGAAACATACACTCTCAGATTTCTTTACTGTGGTGCTGATAGGACACAGAGGTCACAATGTCTCCAACACAAATGTAGCCATTTTATTTACTATGCAAAACCACCAGTGAACCTTCACATATCTAAGTTTTTATATGCCATGTGGATACTGGTAAAACAGTGGTAAGTCTGACAAATTAAAGTTTTCTTTGGGCATTGCTTTGCCTTACAACACCCTGCATGTACCTTCTGCCTTAAATAGTTTTCATGGAGTAATTCTCTGTGAGGGAGCTTTTAGAGGCAGAAAACTCTTCAGATGGTTCCTATCACCACCACTGTGAACAAATCGGAATTGGAATATCTGACGATTTTATATCAAACAACTCTGAATAACTTTTTTACATCATAACCATTTAATCGTAAATTTTGAAAAATTGGTTGAATTGCCCTTGAACAATTTAATGTGGTTTAAGGCAGGTGTGTGATGCTTTAGCCATGCTAATTGGTGGCTATTAGCTAGTATTACTTGTTAGCTACATTAGTCTCACAGCTTGCAAAAGCAGACTTCAGACATTCAACATTTGTCTGCTGACTACACAGTGTTTGTGTCTTGGCTGGTTTATTTTAAACTGTAGGAAAATCTGATGAATGTGAGGTCATTGCTGAGTAGCTGTCATTGAATGAGGGCATTTCTGTGTAACCACAGGCTAAACAGACAAAGCTGCTATGTACAATCTTGACATGGATGAATGTACAGAAGGAGGATAAACTCTTCCTAATAAGGCTGACAGGACTGGAGAATCATGATAAAATGAGAGTTGTTCTATTTTTATGGACAACAAGCAGAGAAGAAAATTACATTCAACATGAAACTGAAAGTCTGCTTCATAAGATATAATGTCTATATAAAGCAACAGCAGCCCCTAGTGGGCATTTAGATAATATACATCCTTCAGAAATCTGAATTCACATAATTTTCCTCTCACACCCAAGATGTGGTCAATCAGCCAACATATGTTTGAAGTTTTTTTTCTTTAGTTTTGCACTGGAGTTACAAGGCTTTTGAATACAAACAGCAATTCTATCTTTATTCTGCACAAAATATATGCTTTTTCTACCCTTCATTCTGAGAAAAGAAGCCAAACTACCTGCCAGTCTAGGTAGCCACGTAGTTACATTGCTAACTACAACTTCTAGCTTGTTGTCCTCCTCTGACAAGTCATTTCTGGTGGTTGAGTAATCTGTTCCAGCCACTGTAATGATGATCTGAAGAGAGGTGCTACAGTTTTAAAGTGGTAATAAGATATTTGGGCTTCCTAGCAGTAATGAGAAAAAAAAACCTTTTTAATAACCTGCCTCTTAAAATCCACCAAACGCAGCTTTTCCACAAGTTCCTCCCGTCTTCAAGACACATCATCAGAAGGAAGTTTTCCCCAGTCTTAAAACTGGAAAATCTCTGGAGACTATTGCAGCACTACTGTAGGACGCAAGTTAGCAATGTTTTAACAATGTAGCAATAGCTATTTTTCATTTTGGCTGGAGCGTCACTTTAAGTGATTTCAAACAGACTTGATGATGTGTTTTCTGACACTGCTTGACTCATCTATAAAAACATATACCTAAAAGCAGCAGTGGCAGCCATCTTGAAGCCTGAATACTGTCTATATTTTGTTCATCACTTGAAAAAACCTTGTGAGAATCCCACTCAGAATAATAGCTACAGAAGACCTTTATTACCCACATAAGAATCTTCCTAATGTACTCACAGAAAAAACAACGTCGTAGTCAGACGCAGTAAAGCTCTCATCTGTGAGGTCCTCAAAGTACTCTGCTAGAGCATCCAGTGTTTCATCTGCCAGCTTTTCATACGCAGCTTCTGTTATCTCCCTGTCAAATATAAAATACATAAAATGATTATTAATGAAACATTTCATTACACACCAGCTTTCCAGCTTTATCATCATTTAAGTATTTTGTAGTCCGGTATATAAAATATTGTTCTGCTAGAGAAGAGGTAATTTACTTGAACTGAAGTGCATTTTCTTCTGCAAGAGGAGTGGTAATATGAAGACTTCTTCTTTGACCATCCCCACACACAAAGTCACTCCACTGAAAAAAGAAACAACACAGCTGGTAAGTATTCCAGATTGTGCAACATCTTAGATTATTCAATCAGCAATTATATTAGGCATTCCTAATAACTGGACAATAACTACTATGAAGAGCTGAATAGTCCTGAATAGAGCTAAATTGTGGAAGTTCTAAACATTAGTTTAGCAGGGTCAACGTATCAACATTTAAACAAGCAAGTGATTAGTAACAGAAAGGATTCACCAATATGGGAATTTTGGGCTAATGCTGATATCCAATATTGTCCTTGGATACATCTCCCTATTCTGATGCTTAAATACTTACAAAATTGATACACTGGGAATAAATTCACCTGAATTAGCATTCTAGAAAATATATGAACAGATATAAAATACACACCGATCAGGCATAACTTTATGACCAACTCCTTGTTTCTACGCTCATTGTCCATTTTATCAGCTCCACTTACTATATAGGTGCACTTTGTAGTTCTACAATTACAGACTGTAGTCCATCTGTTTCTCTGCATACTTTGTTAGCCCCCTTTTACCCTGTTCTTCAGTGGTCAGGACCCCCATGGACCCTCACAGAGCAGGTACTATTTGGGTGGTGGATCATTCTCAGCACTGCAGTAACACTGACGTGGTGGTGGTGTGTTAGTGTGTGTTGCGCTGGTATGAGTGGATCAGACACAGCAGTGCTGCTGGAGTTTTTAAACACTGTGTCCACTCACTGTCACCTTGTAGATGTAAAGTCAGATACGATAGCTCATCTGCTCCTGCACAGTTTGTGTTGGTCATCCTCTAGTCCTTCATCAGTGGTCACAGGACACTGCCCACAGGACAGTGTCTATACTATTGACTATTCTCAGTCCAGGAGCGACACTGAGGTGTTTAAAAACTCCAGTAGCACTGCTGTGTCTGATCCACTGGGTACCAGCGCAACACACACTAACACACCACCACCACGTCATAAGTCAATAAAACTATTTTTATTATGTTTTCAGAGTATGTGTGCTGGTTTTGGGTCAGTAGCTTTCCATATACACACGAACACTGAACTTTGCTCTAAAATCACTCATTAGTGTAGCTTTTAATGTAATTGAGGAGTGCCTTCCGCCCGATGGCCACTAGGATGGCCTCCAGCACCTCCTGCGACCCAAAAGGATAAGCAGCTTAGATAATGTGTGTGTGTGTGTGTGTGTGTGTGTGGGTAATTGAGGAGTTACCTTTACAGCCCTGTTGGGCCATTGAGCAGCTGCCTCCAACCTTCCTGAGTTAATGCCACCACATCCACCGCATCGAGTCTGTAACAAAAAGATTAGTACCACTTAAAACTTCAAATTACAAGCATCTGCTTCATAATGCTAAGAATTTAGAGCACTCTAATTTTGCCATGGTGCATTATTTATGGTGCAACGAGTCATTTTTTGTGTTACAACAAAAGATTTGGTCATCAAATCATCAAATGATTTGGTCATCAGGCATTCCCATATTTGGGAATGACTTGAATAGTTTTATTACACATCAGCAACCTAAATCTGGGCCTTGTAGTGACCAAACCTCTGAGAAATATGGGCAGATGATTGGTTTTAAAAAAAAAAAAGCTGCATTAGATGGATGTTTACATTTGACCAATAATCAATATAGCTCTGAACTCCAACACAGTGAATCAGAAATGAAACAATGGCTGTCGGGTTAAGGTGCAGCCTGTCATCTATAGTTTAATGGTATGTGCATCCATGTTGGGAGACATATGTAGGAAATACAGTCCTTTTTAAAGTCCTTACATTTCAGAGGAAAACAAGTAACTGAACAAATGTAGGTTTAGCTGTTTCTTGGCTTACTGTTTGATTACTAAAGTCTCAACAAAGTCTGAAGCTGATTTGAGATGTGTTCCAAAGACGTGCCAGTGCCAAAAAAGCTTTATAACTCAATCAGAGACAGACTCAGCCGCCTGGCTGTTAGGTAGCAAGAAAGCTTTGGTGAGTTTAGCAATAAACAACCTGAATACCACAAAAGACCGCAGCAGTGGATGAAGACGTTAGAAGAATGATGTTGCATCAGCGTGGCGTGACCTCAGAGTGATGACCACCAGACATCTACCACCACAGATGAGGCTACAGATCATATTAGCAAGGTTACTATTTTAGAAAGTGAAAAACACCCTGTAGAGTCCCTGTCTACAGACAGACGAGAGGAGGTTTATCCTGTAACGTTCGTAGCACAGTTACGGAAAATGACCTGCATGTCATCTCTTAAACATGGTGGCATGAGAAAACGAATGGGAATGGCTCAAACAGTTTTATTACACATCAGTGACCTAAATCTGAGCCTTGTAATGACCAAACCTCGGAGAAAAGCTCTAACTAGCTAACGCTAAATAAACGTTAACGTTAAACCTCGTTAACTGACGTAACGCCAACGGCAACCAGCAACACGAGCAGACAGACTGATCTAGCAAAGCTGTTCTGCTCACTTTGCTCACTTACGTTCACTTCTTTTGTGCGCACTCCAGTGACGAGTGAGCACAGTTTAGCATTGGGTTGGTCACATTTCCACCTGGACTTCAGGAGAAGGAGACACACACGCTGCCACTTATTTGCTAACAGTGACATTAGTGCGGATACCAAGGCCGCTGCCCGGCTCAAATCATGAACTCGTCTGCGAATGTTTTCAAAATAAAAGTCCCTTTTGAACATGCAGCTGGAGCTGGACAGGTTTGTCCGGTTCACATTTGATTGGAAGAAGGAATGAAGGAAGGAAGGAAAGAACATAAGAAAGAAAGAAAGAAAGAAAGAAATACATATTAGGACTTGGGCTTTATTTATTTGGTTAAAAATGTCTTTATTTGTAAAAGGATATGTTTAAACTTAGAAAAAGAAAGTTAAATCCACATATGGCACCAAGGATACAAACCATCCTTCTCATTTCTTTTTTCAAAACAGATTTATTATTACTAGTTTGATTAATGATCATTTTGAATCATATACATGATCCAACCAGGCTTTGGACAACATAATTGCAGGCAAAACACAAAATTAGCAAAATATTGTTAAGCTACATCCCCAGGACTCTGAGAACTCAGTTTGGAAGTAAACAGGGACCAAGTTAGGATAGTCACGAGAAGAATGAAATATTCTGTATGTGACGGAAAATACAGTGTTGAAACATTCACCACACAGTGAAATACTATCTACTGGAAACTGGGAAGTGGTCCTGTTGTTATAGGAAAGAAAGAAAGAAAGAAACAAAGAAAGAAAGAACCCAAATATACTTGATTCGATTTAGCTACATGAGCTGTAATCTCGCCGTCGCCCAGCAGAGGGCGCTGAAATTTACTCATTGTTAAATATGTTACAATAATAAAAACATGGTACCAATCACATGTTTGCCAGAGAAATCCATTGAGAGCCATTAAGATTACAAAACTTTCATCTACACTAAATAGATCTAAAGAATAATCTGCTTTTAGCTACAGAGCACCAGCGAGCTGGTGTCACGTGAACATTTTAAACTTTTTGTCTCTACTGTTTTATTTGATTTGAGTTAACTTTTAATATGATTTTGGTATATTTAGTTGTTGTGTCACTGTTATTTTTCTTTTTATTTATTTTATTAGCAACTTTTACTTCTTAGCTACTGCCAAGTTATTGCTTTACATTTTTATTCCTTTATTTATTTAACTAACCATGTTATTTCATTAATCTTATCCCTATTTGGTCTGTTATTTATTGAGTTATGATATTATTGCTTTTATTTCATTGTTATTTATAAAGTTATTAATGCTCTATTTAGACTTGATTGATCTTTTATTATAAAATGTACTATTATGATTATTTGTATTACTTTTTTAGCATTTGAACTGTTTTTACAGTTCAATTTTATCAATCCCTGATATCTGTGTTGGCTATGCTACATTGTAAATGAGGGTCTCCCTCAGTTTATTCTGGTTTAAATAAAGGTTGATTGATATAGACCTACTAAATACTGTACATATACTGTAAATGCTATGTACAAAAGAAAGAAAGAAAGAAAGAAAGAAAGAAAGAAAGAAAGAAAGAAAGAAAGAGAAGAGGGAAAGACAGACAGATGAAAGGAATAAATAAGGAAAGAAAGAAAGAAAGAAAGAAAGAAAGAAAGAAGGAAAGACAGACTGACGAAAAAAAGAAGAAAGAAAGAAAGAAAGAAAGAAAGAAAGAAAGAAAGAAAAGAAAGAAAGAAAGAAAGAAAGAAAAAAGGAAAGACAGACAGACGAAAGAAAGAAAGAAAGAAAGAAAGAAAGAAAGAAAGCTCCCGCGGATCCTCACAGGCTTCCCCAATGAGCTGTAATGCCGCTGTGTTCCAGCAGAGGCCGCTGTCCCGTTTCTGAGCGCTCCCCCTGCTGCGCTGGTGAACTGCAGAAACTTGGCTGTCGGATTCCTGAACTATGGGCTGTCTGTCTGTCGGGAGGCGGAGACGCTTCAGCTTCTCTTCATTGCCCGTTTCACAAACTAGAGGAGAAACTCGCCGCTGCCCGCTGACTGAACACACCAGCGCCTGGGACACTTTCACTGGATTACCAGCCGGAACCTTCCGCTCTGACAGCAGGACGAGAGAGACAAACATTCAGGTAAGAACTGTTATCAGACTAGCTGATGATAGGTAGCCCACCTGCCCGAGGTGAAGGGGGGCTGTTACAGGGGGTGTTATGTAATGTCTCACAGTTTCTCTCTAAGGTTAACGCTGACTACACTGGGCTGTATATGAGCTGTCCTAATGTAAAGGTCTGTTGGGGAAGCAGTGAGCAGGAAGCTTTGCTGTAATAGCGATGAGACAGCGTTAATACTCAGCATCTTTCTGAATGAGCACCGCTGCTGTTCCAGCTCTGAGAACAACCTACAGAATCTGTGATCTGTCTGCTGGACACGTTACTGAGCTGGGGGCTTTGGCTGTGTGGAAGAGTGTGAAGTGATGTAATATTGCGGGGCAGTGGTTTGTAGGGTCTCCTACAACGTGCAAAGAGTGTTGATGAGCCATAGGGCAATGTACATGAGTGCTGGACCCCCCAGAACAGAGGGTTCTGTTTCTTTTGGTCGCTTTCGTCAATTCCTGACACAGGTTATGAAAGGTCTGAGTGGTTCTGAATGTTTTTGGTTAAAAAGGTCTTAAATGAAATGTATTAATTCATTAATTAATTTTTGTCCCTGGGATAATTTTCCTGTAATTGGTTTTTCTAGAGAAAAACTGGAACTCTTTGAGTTTGTGTAGCTCTTTGTGGATACCAGATGTCCCACAGGAAAATATGAATGTTTTGATGTCCCGGGGACATTTGGAATACTTTTTTACAAAAATAAATAACTAAATAAATCAATAAAAATTCCTTCACTTTAGTTTACTGAGGTTAAAGGGCCCATATCCTAATTTCTCTTGTTTTTTTTTTTCCCCTGAGGTCCACATTAATGGAATATGTGGCTTTATGTGCCAAAATCAGTCATAATTAATTTCTACATGACCATCTTTAAACCTCTCTCTCTTCCTTAATTCCTAAACACGCTATTTCTGTCATTGTGGCTGTACCTGTCTTCTAATTGGCTGCCCTGTTAGGTGACTCATTTAAAAAGCAGTCCAGACTGTACTCTCGCGGGGCCAGACGTGATCTCGTAAAGAGAACATACGTCTGTGGACAACTTGCTAAACTTTTGGCACTCAACTGTGGTGAAATCTGCTGCTAACAAGTGTTTAAAACCCACCCGCAAGTTCCTCACTCTGTGCTCTTTTAACCTCCAGAGTACATTCAATAACACAAGCAAAACAAGCTAGCTAGCAAACCACTAGCTAGTTTTCTCTCTGGTTTACGGTGTGTGACGCATTCTCTGCACACGTGACACACATACATACATACATACATACATCATCTAAACCGCTTATCCTTCTGGGTCGCGGGGGGTGCTGGAGCCTATCCCAGCTGTCATTGGGCGGAAGGCAGGATACACCCTGGACAGGTCACATGACACACATGTGCATGCTTAATTACATTTTTGGGGGGACTCTTAGGCTAACTTCCTGTCCAAGGGCTTACAAGAGGTTTGTTGTCTGTTGGACAAAGTGCACCATCGGCCCCTACTTTAAGCTCTCTCTGTTCATGAGGCTTTAAATTGGTTTAAAACTTTCACACTCTGTTTGTTTCCACCCTAATAAATCTACATTCTCATCCATATTTAGCTCAGAATTTCTCATGGTTATTCCTACACGTTGTCATTACAAGATCATGTCTGGCCCCGCAAGGCTATCCAGGCCGAAACACTCCTTATAACTTTAACATGAATGGCCGGGGCTAAAAGGCTGTAGGCGGAATAGGCGAATATATGTAAATTTATCGGTTTTCGTGACATCACAAAAACTGAATTCAGCATAGGTCGCCTTTGACGCTTAGTTTTGGTGTATGGACTGTATGGTATACGCAGCGAGTTGGACATTCTGAAACTTTAACAGTGTTTACATACTACGTCCAATTCTTTCATTAAAAAAATGATTTTTTTTTAATGTTAGGAGCCCTTTAAAACTATGACTGAGTTAGCTACAGTAATACAGAAGTCAGTGGAAATACCTTACTAGGATAGGAATACAAACTGTGTGTGTATGTGTGCGTAAATGAAATCAAAGTTCTATTAATAAAGTTAAGAACTTTTGTAACGCCCTCTGCTGGCCGACAGCAAGATTACAGCTCATGTAGCTAAATGTGAGTATGTCATCCCGAGAACGAGGAATTAAATGTGTTTTCCTGTGGTATATAAAGGATTTTTTCATCTTAATATGTATATTTTGTCCTTATAGGCACCTGCAAATAAACAGCCTTACCAGTAAATTTTTACATACATCATGATTCCAGCATTTATTGAATAAAACATGGCTAAAGTACATTTTCATGTACGTTGCATAGCAGCTGCCAAGGACTCATGTGACCCATGCCGTGAGACGCTATGGCGGGGTCATTGAAATGGCTTTGTACCTGCAGGCACTTTTGTCACATGATTGTCTGGAACAATTGGAGGAAGACGATCTGTTTGAGGCTGTGCTGAGCATTCCTCTTGTGTTTATGCTCAACTTCGTTTGATTCCTCTGGACAATGTTCGGGAGTCACTCGTCTCACTTAGGCCTGCACTGACACTGCACGCTGTTTATGCTCAAAGTGCATTAGGCTACTGTCAGCAACCATTTCTCAGAACCAAGGGCTTCTTCAGAAACTGCTCTGTGGCAGACAACCAGGCCAACATACTTTTATTATGATAAAGCATTATGGTAAAAGCTAACTGCTAACTGTTAATCCTTGCTATATTGCAGGGGTGGGACACTCCAGTTCTGGAGGGCACAGTTTGGTGATTTTTCGTTGAAGCATACATGATTAAACTCATCAGTTAATTGCTAGGTTTAGTTGGTGTGCTAGACCAGAGAAATTGCCAAACTGTGTAAAAATCAGGTTTTCGGTTTCCCACCTCTGTTGTATTGCTTTTCTATGTATGTATGGGAGCTGTGCTGTAAGTAGCGATGGGTGATATGATGACATGTTAACATCGTTATGATTAATTACATCACAATATGTGTCATGGGCATCATCAGTACTCCTAAAACACTAAACTGAATGTATTCTAAAAAATAGGATTATAACAAGTGTACAGCTGTCAAAGTTAACA